ACCAGCGTGCTAATTCCAGTAATTCCAGCTCTGATTCTGACTTTATGTGCGACTCTAGAGCCAGGCACTTAGCCCTTCTGGGCCTCAGTTTTCTCATCCATAAAATGGGAGTGACATTAGCCCTATCTCAAAGAGATACTGTCAAGTCATATAGGAAAGCATGTTGAGGGCTGTTATAAGAACCAGAGGGTTCTCAGGATGCTAACCCTGACCTGCCCTCCCTCCCGCAAGCCTAGAATCTCAAGAGAATTCCTAGGAGACATCTGGGCCCTCCTAGGAGGTCCCTAACTGCCAAAGCTTCCTTGGTATCTTGAAGTTCTTACTTTATGCCCTTGACCTCAGAGAAAGACCCTTTACCTTTCTGATCTTGGTCTCTCAACATGCATAATTAACAGGTGGGCCAAAAGGTCTCCAAGCCTCTTAAGCCATGAAATATCACAGTATGTTATGATGTGCATGAGGAAACATCACAATTTCTGGCCCTTATGACCCAGATATGGCCCCAGCAAGGGATGGGCAGGGGTATCGAGTCATGATCTCGTATTCTGTGTCCCCTGCTAGGCTCCCAAACACAGGACAAGACAAAGGGGCTTCCAATGGGGTAAACCACGTGCTGCATGCTGGAAGTGGGACCTCAGGCTGGACCATTCTTGCTTATGCAATGATACCACTGCAAAGAGCTTCAAGCTGGGGCCTGCCAGGCCATCTACTGTCACAGGTAAGTCCACAGAGACAGGCGTTTTGCACAGGAACATGTGACCTATCCAAGCTCCAGAACATTCCCAACTACAAGGGAAGTCCTGGAAGGCTTTCTGGAGCCAGACTTTTAGGAAGGCCTGGTATCTGGATGCAGGGCTTCCTGGCTGGACACCCAAAAAGGTGAGTCTGCAGCTTCTTGCAGATGATGCCCTTCCCAAGATGGATAGGAAAGCTAGCCAGGTACCCTAGGAAAGCTTGCCAGGTACCCCAGGTGTGGCAGTTTCTCAGTCGTGCCTCAACTCCCCTGGCACCTTCTTTGAGTCCAGAAAATCCCAGTCTGATCCCTTTCCCAAGCTTCCAAATGTGTCCTCCTTTGGGAGATCTGGCCTCTGGTCCCTGCCCCTGGGAGCCACAGAGCAAGCAGCTCAGGAGAAAGTCTGGCTTGGGGATGCTGTGCGGATACATGTCCACCTCCAGAGGACCCCAAAAGGAGACTGACAGCAGAGCACGGTCCAGACCATGATGCTGGAAACCCAGGTTCCAGCTTAGTCCTGCCATGACTTTTTTTTCTGTGATTTTGGGCCAGTACTTAGCCTTCCTCAGGCCTCAGTGCCCCCTTGTTAAAGAGGGTTTTGAACAGGAATATCTGGAAGCATCCCTCCCACTCTGACACTGTAGGATCAGTATTTTACTGACTCAAATTACTAGGTTAAATGCTCTCAGGCTGCCAGCTCCTCCCCTAGAAGCGGAGGCCACACCTGGGAATAGCATAAACTGGTTCCTCCAGCCCAAGGCCCAGCCCTGTGGTCTCTGCTCTGTCTCTCCAACCATTCCTGCCCCAACCCAAAAGCTTCCTAGACCCCCCTGGCTGCTTGCTCTGTTTCTACCCAGTCTAGAGACCTGGGGCCTCTCATTTGCTCTGACCCAGGGTAACAGATACCTGCTGTGGGTCAGTCGCTGGGGTACAGAGGGAGGGCCTTGGGGAGGCACAGAGGAAGGGAGGGGCAGGGTGCCTGGCAGAAACCAGAACAAACCCTTCCCAACAAAGGCAGCTCCACCAGGCTGGCCTCTCTCCAGCCTCCCAGGAGCCCTCACATGGCAACCAGAGGGACCTGACAAAGCACCCAAATCTCACCATGCCACTCCCCTCCTCAATGCTCTTTGGAGCCAGCTCCTTTTAGCCCTGTGCACTCTAGGAACCAACGGCCACCAAGCCAGACAGAATTCTTTCCTCTTGGGTACTTCTTGCCTGCCCCATAGCTTGACCATACATTCTCAGACGCTCCACCCCTTCCAAACTCCGGGGCTTTGCTCAAGCCTTTACTCCCTACCTGGAAGCCTGGCCCTGGCTGCCTTTCTACCCAAATTCTGAGAGCCTTTAAGACACCTAGAGGAACCTATCTGGCTTTCACTGCTCCAACATTATCATTTCCTTTATAAATTGAGTCCCAACTCCTTCCTATCCCTGGCCCCCACCACCAGCTTTTATCCCCAAGGTAGGTCTCCCTCCTCCTTTATCCACAGGGCAAAATCCAGGGCTCTCCTTCCTTCCCCTCAAGACTTGATGGGGTTGGGGGTATTATAATGAATCCTGGCTGTGTGGCTAAAATCTATCCAGAGATTGGAAACTGATAACTCATTTAGATCCCAACTTTTCTGGAACTTGATTAGATTTTTCTCTGGAATCTGGATACTCCCAGCCATGAGAATGTCCTTGAACTACTTCCAATAGGTACTACTAACAGAGCTGGTATATCCATGGCTGGATACTCAGGCTGTATACCGCACAACTCCATTCACTGAACAATGGGATGATCTGGAATCTGTTACCATGGTAGCCTTCACACCCACATCCCATCTCTACCCTCACTCAGTGTCCACTGGCCAGTTTTTAGAGGAAACCCCTCACACCACAGGTCAGGAGGAAGACCCCTCACTCAGAAGCCAGGTTCCTACAGCCTCCACTCCCAGCCTTCAGCCTTCTTTTATTTTAAACTACCCCCTCAGAGAGATGGCCTGGTGATTCCACCCATCAGTCTACTCATCGAGATAGATGGTACTGAATAGCCACCCGTCTCTGTAGAATGTCCCTCCTTGGGCCTCAGTTTCCCCAGCTGTAAAGAGAAAGACTTGGGCTCCTGATCTCCAGATGGCCTGTTTTAAAGCACATCCACCTATTCTACACTGACATGGTCAGTGGGAAACACAGGATTTCCACACACATACTAGTGTTCTACATTCACAAGGTTTAGAAGCCTAAAGAGGAGATGTTTATAAAATGCAAAGTTGCCTAGAAGCACTGAGAAAGGGAAGAGTAATCGGATCTTGCTGAGATCTGTCTCAAAAGAGTCCTTGTGGGGGGCAGCTGATAAAGGGATAGGGGTGCACAGGCAGGTGGATCCACAGAGGTGGGGAATCCTGGCTGCCCTGGGGAAAAGAGCCAATTGTGAAATTGCAGCAGGAAAGCACAATGTTAGAGCAGCCTGGAGCAGAGCAGTCTTCTCACCTGCCACTGTACAAATTCCCATGGACTCAGCCACAGGCCAAAGGAGAGGGCCTGGGACTGGCACCCCCATTCCCAGGGGTGACCCATCAGGGCACTGGTGGAGAAAATTCCTTAAGAGTCCAACAGACTTGGCCTTGAGTCCGGGCTCTTCCCAGACCCTCTGAGCCACCTTGAGGGAGCTATTTCTCCAAGTATCAGTGTCTGGATGCTTTAATAGGGGGAGAGTGACATTCCCTACCTCATTTTGCAGTAAAGGGTTTAGCACATTGCCTAGTACACAGTACAAACAGCAACCACCAACTGCTATTGCTCCCGCTGCTGGGCCCTGGCAGGTAGTCTGTGCTCCTGGTGTCCAGGCAGTGCAACACACAAAGAGTGGGGCAGTGGATGGGGACATGCACCCTGACATGGGTCCTTTGTGGGGAGAGAAGGTAGGGAAGGACACAGGCACAGCAGAGGTAGAGGGGAGGCAAGGAGCCTTTTCCAGTCTCCCTGGAGTCTTCTCACTGTGCCTCCCTCAGTAGGGGAGAGGGAGGGAAGTGACAAGGGGGGGTGTTTAGATGTATTCTGTACTTGCTGTGTCTCACACAACCAGCCCCACCCTGACAGGATTCCTCAGGGACAGGAGGGGAGGATATTCTCAGGCACCTAAATCCCAGTACATGCACAGGGGGGTTCCTATCTGGCCAAGTCCCAGGCAGCATTCCAGGAGTGGGGAGGATTTGCATACAGTCCAGTGGTGTTCACACCTAGTGTATGTGTACAGGTAAATTCAGGCTCATTCCATCACCGTCATCACTTATGGGCGGAGAAGTAGGGTTCACACCAGGCCAATGCCTATTCCCTGGGGGAAGGCATGGCACCTGCCAACGTCACAGGCTGGGTGTGAGTTCATGGTAAATTCTCACAGGCCAGGCTCACAAGCCAGTGCTGTGACCAGGCTTGCTGCCGCGGACTGTATGGCCGGCCCTGTGGGCACAGGCTCTCCTCAAGCCGGCCTCCCAAAGCACTATGGGGCCCAGAGTGTGCAAATCGGGGCTAAGTGGGGTCCCCTCCTCATCCCAGCACCCAGCTCGGGGCCTGGCACAGAGCAGATGTTGGTGAATGAAAGCCGGGCTGGATGAATGAATGAATGACTAACACCCACTCCCTCAAACCACGGGCTACACTGCCTGAGCCTGCGAGAGGGCAGCGCCCATGGGACCCCAGAAGAGCGCCCATCTTCAGACCTCCGCACCTGAGGCTCTGCCTCCGGGGGTCGGGTCGATAGGGGGAGGGGGCGGGACCTCCAGTGCCTCGCGGAACACCTCTCCTGCTGGAGAAGAAATCTGGGTCTCCGGACGAGCTGGGGGCGGGGGTTGTCGCGTGCTGAATAGAAAGAGTGTCAGGACGGGGGGCGCGTCCTGCTTTGCGTGGCGGGGCGTGGGATGGATCTGCGGCCGTGGGACATCCCCTTCGGTCCCCGTGCAAGGGTCTGCCCGGGCCTCGGGAGGGTGGTGACAGCTTCCAACAGCTGGACTGGACAGGGGTGCTGCAGACCTATCCCTTTCCAGCGGGGCTACAGCGAGGGGGACGTAGTGTCCCACGAGGTGACAGGGGTTGCAGGAAGGACGTGGAGCTGGAGGAGCCCCCTTCCCACGCGCCGGGGATCCGGCCTCGCCACTGTCCCCTCCAGCCCTCCCGGAACCTCCGCCCACCTGCGCGAGGGGCTCACCTGGGCCGGCGGCCCCTCCTCGAAACGCGCGGGTCCCTCCCCCAGGGCCACCAGCCCTGCCCTCCCGGCGCCCGCCCTCACCTGCACCGCCCGCCTTGGCCATGTCCCGGGCGGCGGGCTCCGGCTGCGCTGCCCGCGCTCCTCGCGGCTCCCGGGCCCGGCCCCGGCCGCCGCCGCGCCTCCGGCCCCGAGCGGACTCTGAGCGCCGCGCCCCGCGCCCCCGCCCCGCTCGCCTCGGCTGCCGCCACCGCAGCCGCCGCCGCCTCGCCGCTCCCTCCCGCTCCCTTAAAGGCGCCGAGCGGCGGCCGCACAGGCCCCCCCGCGCTGCCGGGGAGGGACTGACGGAGGAAGGCGCCCAACGCCGCCCCCGCGGGCCCGCACCCCCGCCCCGGGCCGCAGCAGCCGCGCTCCAGCCGGCTCCGCTCCGGCCCGCGCTGCCACCGCAGCGCGCTGGGGGCGGCAGCCGTGGGGCGACCGCGACAGAGACCGGGACCTGCGCTGAGATCGAGAGCAGAGAACGCCCGAGAAGAAACGGATTCCCAGCCGGAGACACCGCAGTCCAGACGGGGATGGGGACTCGGACTGGGGGACCGGGACATAAAGACCCTGAGATTCAGCGCCAGAGAGAGAGAGAGAGAGAGAGAGAGAGAGAGGCACACTCTTAGGTCAGAAATACCCATGGGGGAGAGAAAAAGAAAAATTCAAAGCTGACTAGAGACCCGGAGCCTGGTAGCAGGAAATAGTGACAGAGTGAGAGGAGCATAGGGACGCAAGCGGCTCCCATCAAGGCGACAGAGAAGTCACTGCAGGATCAGAGTCAGAAAGGGACCCTTGCATCAGCCCCTTCCCCCACTCCAGGGATTCTAGGTCCTTTTCAGGGTTCAGCTTAGCCTCAAGAGAAGGAATAAATTAGAGAGAGAGAGAGAGAGAGGAGATTCTGTGCCTTTAACTCTAAGGAAACAGTAAAACACATGCATATCCCACCTGGGATTCCAGGCTGAGCTGGATTTAATGGGCCCTAGGGGCCTGGCAGTGAGCTGTAACCCCCTTCCACTTCCCACATCTGGGATGCAGGCATTCTAGCAAACAGGCCTCCTGGGGGCTGGGGAGAATGGGTTGTGTCTAACAGCAGCAGGGGATCCACAGTCCAGCCCCAACAGAGAACCAGGAGATGGCCAATCATTTTGGGTAATGCCCCAGAGAAGGGAGGCCCCAAAGGAGGGAGGCCCCAGGGGAGAGCAGGCCTTTCCCTAGCTGAGGACTGAACCAGGTCTGTAGGTCCACCGACTGTCTGACCCGCCTTTGGCAGCTCACAAGATCCCCCAAAACCAGCTGCCTGATTCCTGGCTGCTCCTCAGAGGACTATGCAACCTTACCAGAAACGCTGCTTCCTTCCCAGCAATTGATTTGGGCTAAAACCCCAGGTACAATCTGCAGCCAGGCATCACACCCACCCTGCCCCACTCCACCTGGTACATGAGATAATTCCACCTCAGGACTAGCCTTATTCCAGATTCCCCTTAGCTCCTCCATGGAAATTGGATACAGGGCGCCAAGGGGCCTCGATGGACATTTAGTCTAGCACTCCCTCTGGGGCTTTGACTCCATCTACAGGATCCCAGTAAAGCAGTCCTTTAACTGCTGGTTGAATCTATCCAAAGACTGAGAGCTCAGTCTTGCTGAGCTCTTTGATCTTTGGACAGAGCTATCCATGAGAATGTTCTTCCTCCCTTGAGCTGAAATCTACATCCTGTATGACCCACTCATGAGTTCAACTCTGCCTTCTGACACCTTACAAAAAAATATTTAAGAACTAAGGCTTTCTAGGGTCCTCTGTCCAAAGCGCCTCATGTGGCTTCACTTAGGATCACCAACCATCCTGATTTGAGAAGGATTGTCCTAGTTTAGCTCTGAAAGTCTTGACTCCCAGGTCACCCTTCCGTCCCAAGAACTCTGGATCTCAAGCCAGGCAGCAACACAGACTCCAGTAGGTATAGAATTTCATAAGCTCTGAAATCATGAATCCAGAGCTGTTCCCCAGCACAGGCCATTGATCATCAGCAGGGTGAGTGTGACTGGGACCCCTGCAGCCCTTTCCCAGCACTGGGGTGAGGGTCAGGATGGGAACAGTAATGAATATTTATTGGACAGGTAATATGTTCATGGCTTTGAATATATCCTGTTATTTAACTCTCGAGTACTCTCTGAAACATATTGCATTATTCCCAGTTTCCACAGAGGGAAACAGAGGCTATGAAAGTTCAGGCTTAGATTTCAGGCCTGTTCTCTCTACTGTGCCTCTCCTTCCCCCACCCTTCCCCGCCACAGAGGGAGTTTCAGATGCCAGAAAACCTGTTAATGTTCAGGCTTGGCCACCTGTTCTGTGGGTGCAGGAGTGGGTACAGTGGAGACCACTGACCACAGGAAAAGCAATAAATTAGACACAGAGGGGACATATCTGGGCCTGAGCACCTCCCTAGCCCTTGTCTCACAGCAGCCAATATGGACTGCAGGCTGTTGGCAGCCCAGTCTCCTGGCACAGCCCAGTGTGTGTGCACACCCATGCATCTGCAGGAGTGCTTGTGTGTACTTCACACACACAGACCTGTTTACAGATAATGTTCCATTGGTGGACACTGAGACCCCTTCCCCCAACACTCAATCTAGTCACCACAAACCCTAAACTAGTGGGGAAGGGGTAGGTGGAGCATTGAAGGGGAGATGCCAAGTTGAATTTCAAAAAGCATCTCCTTAGTCCACCGTTTCCATCCCATTTCTCAGAGGGGAAGACAATGGACCAGACTGGAGGGCTGAGAACCCAGACTCCCCCAGGACTCTTGAAACCTTCCGTGCAGTTTCAGCCCTGAGTGAAGCCCTCACTGAGAGGTGATGTGGAGTCCAACAGGGAGTGTGGGCCTAGCCTCCAGGGCAGCTCCTGACCGCACTGGCTGTTACCAGCTGCCAAGGCAGTTCCGGCCTTCCCTTTGGACAGAGCAAACACATCAGGACTCAAGGCCATTAGATTAACTGGTGGGAGTTAACTTCCTGCGTCACAAGGATCGTCCTTAATTGAAGAAAGGAATAACTAGCAATTTAGAGTCACTGACCTCAGCTGCCTGGAGGAAGGAAGAGCAGGAGCCAATCAGGGCCTCCTGGGCCTCCCAGCTCTCCGTGACCAGAGTGACTGTGACTGGGTTTCAGACCCAATCCTTTCTCACAGACCTGGTGCCCAGACCCTTTTCTCGGACTACCGTTTATTCTGCTTCTGCCTCCACAGTGGCCTGCGGCTCCTAGGCCCAACAAAAAAACTTAAATCCAAAAAAACTGGGGAAAACAGGGCGCAATCCTGCCAGTTCCCAGGGAGAACACAGGCACAGATGTGGACAGACGGGAGAACGCCCTGGGCAGGTAGGGAGTGGGAGCTGGTGGCAGGATAACTACTCAACATGACATACCTAGGCCTTTTTATCGGTCCTGGACAGATGGTGTCCAAACTCTTGGAAAGGTTAGTGATGGTCTCTAGGAGCCAGTATGGCCCTGTGGAAAGCCAGCGGTGCCAGGCCAAGTTCATTTCCTTTTTGGACACAGTTATGGCAACTGGTGGAGTTGGGCATTGCCATGCCTGCTGGGCCTGTGCCTGGGCACAGCTGCTGCTCTACCCTCTGATGGCGACTTTGTGAACAGTAGAGGTAGTTAGGGGCAAGATGATGGCCCGCCCAAGCGCATGTCCCTGTCCACTCCTGAATGGACTCCAGTGGAAAGAGGCCTCTGGCGGGACTTGGACCACATCACACTGTCAGCAAAAGTGCTCACCACAGAGAAGCAGCTGCATAAGAAGGATGCAGTTTGTGCAGACTGGATGGGGAGCCATCTGGCAGATGCATGGCCATTGACAGTGGCCTTGACAAGCTGGGACCATGACTGAGGCCAAGAGGATGAGATGAACATGGACAAACAAGTGGATCTAAGGCCCGACACAAGCATCCTTTCTCCAGAAGTCTCTCTTAAGCTCCCAGCTTGTGTTCAATCCCGCATCCAGATTTCCACTGTCCTTTTTCTCCTCTAGTCCTGCCCCCTCGCCCTAACACCTACCTATCCCTCACCTGAACCACTGACAGCTCCTTCACTTCCTGAGGTGTCTTCCGGCCTGGGATCCCCTCCTCACTGGGTCACGTATTTTTAAAATCCGTTGGTTAGCCAGGTGTGGTGGTGCATGTCTGTAATCCCAGCTATTCAGGAGGCTGAGGAAGGAGGATCACAAGTTCAAGGCCAACCTAGGCAACTCAGTCTCAAAAGGAAAAAAGGGCTGGGGATGTAGCTCAGTGGTAGAGCCCTCCTGGGTCCAGTGCCCATACCACAAAAATAAAAACAAATACCAAAAAAAAGTATATATATATATATATATATATATATATATATATATATATATATATATATATATGTTATTGCCCCCAGCCATGGGGACTATCTACAATCACAAAAACAGCTCCTGACCCAGTTGCTCTTCTTTGGATGCTCCACAATAGCTCTGAGAGTAACTGATTTGTTCTCATCCTCCCCTTGCCTGGGCTGCCACCAATTCTACGCAGCACAGGACCCTGGGTGAAATGTGCCCTTTGATCCAGGGCCACTTATTCTTCCTTTTCCTACTGATACCTGGGGCACATCTAGTGTATACTTCTGCTTCACCCACAGGAAAGGGGTAGGACCCTGCCTCCTCCATGCGAGGGCCCATTCTCTGCAGTTAGGAGGAAAAACATGGCCTCAGCCTCAGGGCAGATGCTATAAAGGAGACACCACCATATTACCAAGAGTCTCATTTGTGGTTTTCTGCAAAGGCAGGAAAATTCCCTTGAGATCAACCAATGACCTGTTGGGGAACCCCCCCACCAAGACAGACCCCCACCCAGGAGACCAAGCTGAATGCTTCACTTTTATATTCCAGTGTATTCCTGCTCTGTACTGATACAGGTGGGCTGCAAAACTAGACAGCAGACATGCACATGTATCTTCAGCATTTTCAGAAGGACATTTGAGGACATCCTGAATTAGACCTCATCCTGGTTTTTTTTTTTTTTTTTTTTTCTGTACCAGATTGAACCCAGGAACACTTAACCACTGAGCCACATCTCCAGCCCTTTTTACTTTTTATTTTGAGACAGGGCCTCACTGAGTTGCTT